ATAAAAGTAGAAATTGATTAATTATTTTATATTTTTTTCTAATGATGAATTCAACAATAGGAAAGTAATCCAGTAATAAATTCATGACTATATTTTAAATGTTCGAACGGTAGTCCTTGCTGTATTTGACAGTAACATAAACGTTGAAGAAATTCTTGTTGAACCTTGTTTATAATTTCTTGAGAAATATTGTTTACTTCTGTTCGAATTCTCTCTTTTAGTTCTTGAATATTTACTGGTTTCGTTTTATAAACAACATTCTTCAGATGGCCCCACATAAAGTAATCCAACGGATTTAAGTCTGGCGACATAGCTGGCCATCCAATATGTCCACGTGCTTAATGTTTCTATTTAAAAATCGCAATAAATTTAAATTGCATAGGATACAACATAGTCTATACATATGAAACCATAACATCGACTATAATATTCCAAATAATATTCCAATCCACATACTTTTATCAACAGAAAAGACTCCAGAGTATGCATAATTCATGCAAATGCTTCTTAGATCGATTCAATCAATTGTACCTGTCATTATTTTATTTGATTTTTGATGACTCAGATGATCTTAGATGTCCGAGTAAGTTCACTATGATTGTCATTCGTGAAAATGAAACTATTACGAAATCTGAACCTTTTTTTGTTTGTATAAAAATCAGTGTTTGAACAATATACCACATAATTAGTTGAAATAAATCATACGTGGCGTACTGCAAAGATCAAAACTGGGACCTGTTTTGTGAAGTTGAGAAAGGTTAATGCAGTCGAGCTGCTGGAAAATAACTCCATGAAAATCAAATGTTTAATTCTGATCACTCCCATATTGGGAGAATAATAAATGATTATCTTCCAGAGAGGTGAAAAACGCCTTGCCCCTTGCCTTTCATGTGAACCTATGACATTGTAGGTAAGTGTGACGGATACTAGACGGATGAACAACAACTAACCCAGCTAATGCCGCACGGAAAGCTGAAGTAAAACCATAAGGTACCTGTGCAACGTTTTCCATTTGGAAGTCCTTCCGGGCTTTGTCTGCAGGTGGCGCAATGGTACATCCTACTGAGTTTATGACTAGTTGGAATTAATATTGTTTGTTCGGGATACTCAGACGGTTCACTCCGTCTGAAATGACCTGCCCGGTACTGACGAGGAGCAAGTACTCCGAAACCGGTGGTCTTCCTAACCAAATGAAATTAATTTCTGCTCTTCATAAGTAGGAAGTTGATTGCGATGAATCTTTCAAATGGAAGACGTTGCACAGGTGCCTGATGGTTGTACTTCAGCTTTCTGCGCGGCATTAGCATGAGAGGCGAGGGGCAAGGTGTTTTTCACTTGAACTTGGTCATGTCATATGCGCCTCTCTAAAATATGTTTATTATTCTTACTCCTCCCCCGGAGTATATGTTTGTGGAGTTGTTTCAGGACTTTGTCTGTAGATGGCGCAGTAGACATCCTACTAAAGCACAGTTTTCAAGTTTAGACAATGCAGTATACCATTTAATGATATAGTTTTCATTTATATATTTGGTTAACGTGTTGCAGCAGACGCNTTTGCAAAGATTAGGCTTTCCTTTTTGAAATAAACTATCTACCTGTTGGTCCAAAAACTGAATTGCCGCCCATTGTACACCTACACCCCATTTTTTATTTAATCTGTTCTACCTTCATCTGCTGGACATCAGATCGTCTTCCGGTCAGGAGCCTTCGTCGTCGAACCCCGAAAACCTCAACCGCTCCACGATAACGAGCCACCTGCACAACCATTTGACGGCGCTCCGGAATCTCCGGGAGGGTTTTATCGAACAGCACGGCGCCGAACCTTCCGTCAGCTTCAGGTACTCGCAGCAGAGCACCTCGAACTCCACCATTAGTCTCAGGGTCGGCAGGGAGGTCAACAGGACGTTCGGAGAGGACGTTCTTACTGCACCTTCCACTTCTGAAGGCGCTGCAGTCTCTGCCACATCGGAGCCGATGGTGAGAGAATTGATACATACAGGGTGTAACT